AATAGTAATTTCCCTTGGTGATCATTTGTTTTTGTTTTGAGTGAAAATTCAATCAAGACGCAGGTAGTAGACAATCATTAGAAACGACGATGAACTGAAATTACCGATTGGTTGGTTTTCTTTCATGAAACGACACCAATCGGGCTACTTCTGGTGGTTTATTGGGCAGACATCGTCGGAAGATCATCTGCTTTAGGAAAAGAGGGTATTGGCCATACTGTAGTATATAGGCCTACGGGTTAAACCCGCTCAAACGTCTCTTTCGAAAGACGTGCGCTATTCATATTGTATTTGAATTTTAGGTGAAACACAAACCTAGCAGCGGTGAAATAATGTTAGTCATTTTTTGCCCAACATACTAACGGGCACCAGGACGGATGAGGGAGAAACACATTAATTATTAATACTTGTATTTTAAATGGCGGTCAAATTTCTTCAAACTTAACTGAACTCCATTAACATACATTTTGTTTCCATTTTATGACTTATTATAAATCATGATATCTTAATATTTCACATTAAAAATTTAAAAAGAAAAACAGAGTTACTTTCTTAATTTTGCTTTTAAAAAACGTGATTAATTACGTGATCTTATCAGAATGTCATTTTGTGTGTGGAGAAACTAAAGAATGAATGAAAGAAAGGCAATCATGCCTTTATGGTAGCTCATTCATTGAACTGAAAATTCTATTCCGTCTGGACTTATTCTGGTGCTATTGACATTTTTCTTCCCTTCCTTTCTATACGCGAGAGCAACTTGAGGCAACCGAATCTCTGCGATGCATTGATTGACATTTTACTAATCATTATTTTCATAGGCATAACTGTAATCCATACGTACTCTAAAGGTGAGCGTCCGTCCACCAACTCGATCACGTGCTTCGAGTAAAATAACGTCACATCCATTGTCTTTCAGATAATTGGCTGCACATAGACCTACAATAAAGAAAGCATACTGTTACTGCGGAAGTAGTTTATTTAACATGTGTCCCGACAATAAATGATAGGCCTATTTATTTCTCTGATCATTTCTTTCAACTGGGGATGGAAGAGCTACGGGTGCGCGTGAGGGGCGCTCGCTTACACTAAAAACTCAGTTCAAAGCAAGGAAATTGATGGCTATCTCCCTACAAAACAATATGTATTCGAATGTTGATATGTTTTATTGTCTGCTTGATCTTTCACTGAATTTGACGTGATTGTGATTGATTACATGTGCTTGATTTCAAGTATATGTACATTATGTCATTTTATCTGCATGATTTTATACGATCTTCTACTAGGATGAGTAGTCGAACTCATGACTTTGAGCCTGCAACTCGATGAAATAATAATTTGACTTTTATGCCTCCCCAAGCCGTACCATAAATCGGAGAAGATCCATTTAAGACAGTCGATAATGAATGTAAAATTTGCTATTTTACAGCATAATGAAGATAAAAACGGATGTACTCTTTAAATTTTATTACGAAATACTGCCTACGATTGCATTTTCAGTATACCTAGCTAAAGTTGGTACTATCAACGTAAAAACTTCTATACAAAAGATAATTGGGTTGATTTCCTACAGGCCTATATTTGTTATTCTTTGTTTTGTTGTTTGCCTGCGGTACAAATCCCAAAGAGCGCCGTGAGTGTAATTCACCCATAGAGATGAGCAATTTTTTTCACACACTTATGATTTGAACACAACAATATTTAACTGCTTTGCTGTATTTGCAAGATGATATAACTTGTAGCGATCTATATTGGAACCTAATTATCATTCTCATATCATAATGACTTCCTACAGACACAAGCAGGGTTGTGAAATTAATACACTACAGTATGTTTAAAGGGAAGATACTTCATGTGATCAACTTTAATTTCGGACGTACATATCCATAACAAATAAAAATATAAACTGTGTGTAGGTACTTTAAAATCGTGAGCTTATGCAACAACACATCATTCCATCTAAAACATCATTGAAGATTCCAATAATATTGAAAAGTATATGCCTGACACAAGAGTGTTTTCTTGTAGAAATCCTTGACATAAGTCGTAAACCGAGGAGGTGCAAGGAGTTAACTCCCTGGTTAAACCATTTAGATAAGAGGTATAATGGCTAAAACTCAGGGCCTTACAGAAGGCTTGGCTTTGCTTATTTAAAGTTAGGCCTATGTTGTGTATACAAACCACGCGATCGTCGATGACAACAGCCGACACGTCTTTCTTAATATATTATTATCATTATTACAAAGTCGTGCATTGGTTCGTATAGTAAATGACCTCATTTCTAAATTTTATTAATAGTCATGTGGTTTATTGAGCCATAAAAAACTCTTATCATATTAACAATCGTGATCAAACAACACAAAATAGCAGCACTTGAAAGCTATTATATCGCTAGCTCAGATATGCTCAGAGATCGGACAACAGTAGGCTAGCGCTATTGCAGTACTGTAACAGCTGATGAGCGATGAAACGGAACGGACGAATGGAATATGCATAAAGAAACGAAATGAGATGACTGTACAGTACTAGCTGTCATAACCTTAGTACAATGTACTTACCACTTATCCCTGCCCCGACAACGATTATATTATTTGCAACTGACATATCTGATATACGCTCTCACGTTTATGATCTGTCATCCAACATAGTATTAAACGCAATGATCAAGTGAACGTAGCCAACTACTGTAGCACTCTGTACGGTGTTCCAGGGCACTACCGTCTTTCATGTCATTGAGGTCAGAGTTTAACTTTATCTGCCTTGCGAACATTGAATCCGCGAAGTTTAAAAATGATAATCATAATCATACATACATATATAT